GCTACTTGAAATAAATGAATCTTTTTGGCACTCAGTAAAGCTAAYAGCTACATGTTTTCAGCTGTCTTCATAATCAAAATAAATCCCAAGAACCTTTGAAAACAATATGTGTGTTTATCTCTGTGCAGGCCTGGCCTGTCAAGTAGTATCTTCTGGTCGTTATGTGGAATTAATTTTCTCACCTCTGGATGCCTCACCAGCTCTGCCCGTTCATCGTGTGTCTCTGCTTGCTTTGCCCTTCGGTGCTTCATCTCACGTGGAGGAGGAGGAAGAGTCACGAATAAACCTCCTCACAAGGTGTGACTTCAAAGATTTTCCAGTTCAGAACAGCTAGTTTGCATCTTTTTGTCCTTCTTATGTACTCAGAGCCACTGTTAAAGGTGTAGGAGAAAGATACAGATCCCTAAAATATTGATCTGATAGAATTATCTTTTTAAACGTCTAGAATATTTTAAACTTTTTTGACAATGTAATGTGCAATATACCTGACTGAACTCCAAAGTAGTTGAAGGAGCGGGTGGTCATGGAGATGGTCATGAGTTTACCACTTTTAAGGGGTATAAATTTGGGTGTAATCTCTGAAAGTCTAATGTAATCCCTGAAAGTCTAAAGGATTTCTTTTTTAATTTATTGTCACTAAATATGTTGTTCTCATCCAAATGATGAGACAATTCACTTCAAATGTCACTTTTTGCTAAATAAATTTTTAGCTCCAAGTTTTCACCCAGCTCTGCTACAGACTTAATGTAAAAYTTAGTTGTTAAGCTTGAATCGCTACATTCCAGCTCTGGTAATTAATGATTTGTCCTTGCAAATTTATTTTTTTTTCCTTCTTTTTTTTTTTTCCTTTTTACTTCCCTGAGCAGCTTTGAAGAGGTACTTCAGCGATACAGTAATTTATTAGATATGGGATATCTGTTGTGTCTATTATGAAGAGCCTGAGGAGGCAAGCCTGAAAGCGGGAGCCGGGGTTGGATGTCTGTTGACTCTGTGCTTCTGAGCATCTCAATCCTGGTATTTTGTTGAAGCTGTTGGGTTAAATTGCYTTGGTTTGTTAATCTTTGAAAGTGAAAAAAAGCTTAGTGGAGATTGCAGGTTGCACAGAGGTGCTTTTGTATCTATGTTACTGAAGATGGTTTTTCATATATGAAGACTGTAAACATAAAAGACCGAGCAGATTGTATAAGACTTTGTCTTTACAGTGTCTGTGTATAATTTCAATACTAATTAAGCATATTTTTTAAAAGTAATATTCCTTTTTTGTGAGCTTTGGTCGTTGTGTTAAACTTAGCTATGTACCAGCTCTAGGAGCAAGTGTTGAACATGAGCAGCAGCTTCACCAAAGCCACTTAGTTAACTGCAGCAGAATGGCAATCTAATGTGGCTCTAACAAACCCTATGGGAGCGAGATGCCTTTTAGCTCTAGCAGGTATTCACTAGAACAGGGCTTAGCAATTTGTTTTGTCAAACTGTGAGGCAGGTAACCAACCCGACTGGAATGTCAGCTTATAAGACTGCCATGGAGATTGCTCTGATCAATGTTTTATGTTAAAAGGAAAACAAACCCTTAAAGCATCTTGTGCTAAGCGTGTTTGAAAAAGGCAAGAAAATGCAGTAGTTGTATTTCATCTTTTTGTGAAACACTCTTGAAAGAGCTCAAAGCAAGTGCTCCTCTCCTGCATCCTGTGGCCCATAACAGCTGCTGGGTGTTGTTTTCGTGGCTTGCCCTGTGGAGGGACTTGCCCTCTTCTTGGTAATGGCACTGAGAGCTGGCCCTGCCTTTGCAGGAGGGCGGCACGTCTGCCCTGGGCGCTCTGTGAGCCCGTGGAAGGAGGGGCAGCTTCTGCCTCTAGCATCCATCAGCAGCCTTCRCATGTTAGCTGCTTCTACCAGAAATGCTCTGCAAACTTGACTTGTTGTAACTGCGCTGAAACTCCTGAAACAACTTGTTTTCTTTGTTTTGTTTTTCYTCCYGAACCACTCCTGTGTAGCTTAATTCCCGTGGAGTWGGAAGGAAGGCTTCTTCAAACTACCAAAAGACCAAGCTACTTTTATAGTCCTTCAGAGGAATAGAGTAATTTAACTGTTAGACTCTTTCTTTTTATAAAAACGTCTAAATCTTTTTATTGAAAAAGCAGGAAGACAGATTCATAGTCAGAGGGTCATAACTGGGTAGTGAAAGGCCTGGACTAGAGTGTGTACTGGGACATCCTTACGGCAGCCACTGGAGCTGCGGGTGGATATGAATGGGATGGACCACAAGCAGCGGCCTGGCTGATGCCTCAGCACTATCCCCAGTGCCGTGATCGGAGAGAAAAGACTGGGCTAGACAGACCATTAGCCTTACCCAGGAAGGCAGTTCTTGTTTTTAATGGTATTTTTGAATGGGAACCTGTCACTGTGAAGAACTGCTCCAGTCAGGCTTCTCGGGACAAGTTCATTTTCCCTCCTTGGCSTGTCACCAGGGATAAATTTAATTTTGCATAAAAACACTTAAATTTATTTCCAGTACCACTGAAACATTCGTTTCCTCTCAGGAATAAATGCCATAAACTACGTCTACCTTTTCCAAATATTTTTTTCCTTTCATGTTCATAAGTTACCTTGTAGTGATTGACAATTCAATTATTCAGCAGCACGTAATTAGTTACTTACTTGGAGTGCCATGGAGTGAAACATGGATTTACTTGTGTGTGCACACACACTAGCTGGATCCAGCCCAGGCAGTGAAGCTGTGCACAGTACTCCCATAGAAACAGTCTACTGATCTGAGTAGGTGCAGTAGGTGCATCTGAGTATGGTACCTGGGTAGGTGCAGAGATAAGGTTAGGAATAGAGATTCACYATTGCCACTTTCTTAAAACGTGGCATTTTAATCAAGTGCTGAGTATGTGGGAGAAAGTCTGTTAAATGGTTTCAATATACTTAAGGTTAAGACTGGGAAGCCCACAGCGCGTTGACAGATTTCTTGCAATTGCAGTTTAGAAGCTCTCCTGACAAACTGCATTTGCCCTCCCGAGTTGCTAACTGTATCTGGAAACCCTTTGTTAAATACCAAGACCCGCAAGCTCTGGGAGAAGTAAACCAGCAAAACGCCTGTCACGTTGATTAAGATCACAAGGCAGCCGGCCTCTTAAGAGTGATGAAATAGTAACTCTAGTGTTCAAATGTCTCGTATAATCAGTAAAGTTTTGGTACTTTCAGTATTCCTTCATCAAAAGACCTTGTTTCTTGTCTTTTGAAAAGACTATCTATTCATAGGCAGTGCTGTTTTTCTCTCACTAAGTAATTCAGTATCATACTGGATATTTATTATTGATTTATAAAATTTACTGTTGTTAAATAGTATGTTAAATAGTGAGTAAGTAAATGGTAAGTACTTGGCGTTTGTTACCAAGGCCCGAATAAGTATGTGCTGCTTGAGGCTGCTTGAGCACCCTCACAGCTTCCAGGGCTTGTGTGGCAGCCGCGAAGCCGCTGCTGTGACCGCGAGCTCTGTGACGGTTCAGCCCTGGCCCCTGGGCTCCTGGATCCAGTGGAAGCGCTGCAAGGATGGTGGGAGCGGAGCCGACCCTTTCCCTGCCAGCGTTCAGGGACGGGGCACTTGCTGTCCCAGCGCCGACGCCTCCGGGCTCATCTGTGCGACTGAAGGACACAAGAGGACATGTTTTAAAGTGGTAGTGAGAGGCAGGGGCCAAAATCCCCATGACTCTTGAAGAACATTAGGGGCCGTTGTGTCCTTCGTGCCTCAGCAGCTTGCCTCCTTTCCTGTGGCTGCCCGAGCTGCTGATGGTGGTTGGCTTCCCTGCTGCCTCCTGCTGCCAGCCATGGTCTCAGAAGTCATCTGAGCTGCTCTCTTTGCTCCCTTGGGAAGCCCAGAGCCTCTTGCCGTGGCCTTTGAACAGTAGGCTGTCAGCACGTACCAGCCTCAGCCCCTCTCACGAGTGTGGAGCCTCGAACTTTGTATGGCAGAACTAGTCTAAAGATAAAGCACTGAGAAACTCRGTGGTTGTATCTTGGAGCTCTAAGTATTGTGATAAAATACAGCTAGAAATTTCTGATGGCGTCCTGTCGAGCTGTCATACAGGAGAAATTACAGTTSGCACCCTGCAAACCGTGTAGCAAAGGTTGCTTCCAAGCCATGCTGGAAACACCTTTCATGTACCTAGATATGCCTAAGCTTACAGGAAGGGTGGTTTTAACTCCCAGATGCTTCTTCCTTCCCTGAATGACAGAAAAAGTGAAGTGAGCCGAATGGATTGCTCCCCTTTACTTCCTCCCCTTCTCTTGGGTGGTGAGTACGGCTGCTGTGGCAATGCCTGCTGCTGGCAGGGAGATGTTTTCCTTCAGTTTGCATCTTCCTTTTTGGGAATACTTTCTTTTTTTTTTTTTTCCTCATGGTGATGGAGTGGAAGCTGCAGCCCTACAAAGTAGGGCTCAGTGCTGACTCGGGCGGTTCAGCTCAGACTTGGAGCGTGCTTGTGGTTTGCCTTGGTCCTACAGCAGAGCTAGGGCCTGCCCATGCAGAGAGGTGGGCAGGCCGCGTTACTGCTTTGTTTTGTTTGGGGCGAGGGGAAAAAAGTCAGATGAAAAGGCTGAGAAGAAATTTGAGCTTTTAAGTATTCCTGCAAATAGCATGGGAATAGCATGGAATTAAATCTAGTTTTAAATCTTGGTGTTTGTGCTCAGCCAGCTGGCAGCAGGTCCCTGTCTGCCCCTTCCTTGAGTGTGCTGTATATCAAATGTCTTCAGGGCCAAAATCTCTGCGAAGTTAAAAGGGTTGGTGGCTACTTTCAATAAAAATGGTCATTCTCTATCCTTTCTTTTGTATTTGGAGACCTTTGTGTGCTTATTTTAATTTTAGTATTGGCTTTTAAAGGACAGATGAAAGGTATTCAAGAATGCTACTTGTAGTTTGAGGATTTTTATTTTCCCTATTTCTCCTTCCTACCCCCTCTTCTGTAGTCAGTGCAAGGATGCACTGAGGGAGCTTCTCCTGCAGACAGCTCTGATGAGATAAAACAAGAGGCACCTGCTCYGAATCCCTCCCAGGAAAATCTCCACTGACTGTGAAAAGGGGGAGATTAGGCTCCCCAGGGCAAAACTAGGTATTGTGAGTACCGCCACTTGCTGCATTATTTTAAGAAGGAGATGCATCTGCTGAGATGTAACCCTCAGTGCTTTTTTTTTTTTTTTTGAAAAAGGGCTTTGGATGCATTGTGGGTGAAGCATTTTGGAAAGTTTATCTTGCATAATCGTGCTGTATATGAATGTAGAATCTCGACTTCTTGTAATGACTAGACTGTTGTCCACTTCTCCTGGCATTCAGCCACGATTCAATAATCTATATTCTTTATAATGCAWATACAAAGTGATGAATGACTGACCACTTTATAAAACTGCACACATACAGCCTTGGAAACCACTGAAAACCATCTAGGCCAACTGTTTGACTTAAGTTTCACAACCACCTGCGTCCTGCCTGAACTGATCTCTGCCAAAGCTGCTGTTCCCAGTTCTTTGCTGAACCTGCTCATCCGTGGAAAAGGATCTTCTTGCAAGTGCATCTGCTTAGCCCTGCGTGCAAAGATTGTTATCCTGTAAACACATTTTAGTTCAGCACACTGCACCAGAAACCTCAGCTACCGGAAGCTAATGTAGTTTCTGTAACGTTAGCAAGTCATCTGCCCTGGTCTTTGTTCTTCCACACGATTAGGATGTGTTTTTYTTGACAGCTACTCAACAGTTACTGCTGGAAAATTAAATTGTCACCTTTTATCTTGGCTATTAATATAACACACGTTAGCTGTTCTATCTGCATCCTCACAATTATGTAACTTTGGGGGGTTTAATCTTTTCAGTATAAACAGTTTGCTCATGGAAGAGCTGATTATGAAAGCCTAGCTGCAAAGGAACCAGTCTTGTGTGCCCCTGGGAAAAGAAAAGGAGAGTCATGGCAAAATCTTTGTCTCTGAGGAGGAAAAAGACTGAAAAGGAGGAAACAGGGAGCAGTTTGGACCCCTTGAGCAGTGTTTTCCTGGCTACAGCCGAGAGATTCTTCATCCTGAAACCCGACTGCTGCCTCATGCATTTTGTCTTCATTATCTGTCTCTTATGTAACACTTGCCCAAAACCTAAGCTGTTTTGAGTGTTTTGATAATGGGGAATGTGACAGAAGGTTATTAAAAAAAGTGGAGATCTTGAAAGTCTCCAGAATAATTAAAATGCATAAAACACAAGGAAGTAACAGATGGCAAGCAAGTGTTTGAATTAAACCAATAACTCCTTAAATACATAACCTTAACAGCTAATGTACTGACATGGTAGACTGTACCAAAATCCGTGCTAGCACTGTTGTTGTGATTGAAAAGAGCTGAAGTCCAGTTTTAGGGACTCTATTCTGAAAATACGGTTGGTTTGGTTGGTTTGAGCATTGAGCTCAGCCTTCCTTCCCCCTAGCCCTGATCCCACGTGGATTGCGGTCTTCTGGCCAGGGTTTCACACATGGTTAAAGGGGGCTGGCACAGGAGAACTTAGCTCCTTTCATGTAAAAATTGAGGGGGGGCGGAATAAAAAGGTTTAGCATGTGACTTGCAAATTTCATATTCCCAAGAGASTCTGTGGGTTTTGTCGTGCCTGGGAGCTCCCCTCCTGTCCTCCTTTCTTAGCCTGGCATGAAGGAGCTGCTGCACCCGCTCCTCCAGGAGAGAGCAGCTTAATTTCCAGAGTATCCTTGAGCTTTAAAAGCTGTAAATCCTTTTTTTTTTTCTTTTTTTAAAATCATTTTTGCTTAACTGCCTTTTTACTCTGTACGCATCATAATTAACAAGTGCATAAAGTACTTATTTTTGCTGCCTTTTGTAACCCATTAATTGCTTTAGGTCATGGATATTTTTCACTGTCAAAGGGTTGTCCATAGAAATTCATTWAAAAAAAAAAAAAAGCTCTGTGCAAGTTATGGTTTGACTCTGGGTAGTCAAAAATCTATAAAACTAAAAACGTTGACACAGAAACCAAGATGGATAATTTGTTAAATGGACAACAAAGAATTTAAGTATGTAAATAGAATGTTCTTGAGAGAAGTGAGGTTTTTTTTTTTTTTTAATACATGAAAATTACTGGATGTGTCTTATATGTCTTTCTAGTGGCTTCCTTGAAATATTAACTAAAAAYGAACCAGAGAGGATGGAGATCCTAGGATCAGAACTAGCATTTGAAGGGAAAATCATAGCGTCAGGAAAGTTGCCTAAGGCCTTTTCCTCTGTTTTGCTGATACTTTCACTACCGTGACAAAGGATTTWGTTGTGTGTATTTTTAATTGAACAAAAAAGAAAATGCTACAGAAACTGGAGCAGTAGGGCTGAGAATTGAAAACACCATTTGTGAGTTACTGGTTTCATCAATGACTGACATAATTTTGCTGTATTGAGACTCATGAGTAGGAGAAACGGGTTCTCTCGSTAATTCTTCAGTTTAAACTATAAACCAAACATTTTAATGGTTTTAGAGTTGTTAACAGGGTGTATATTGTCATGACAACAAGGACACCTGCGATAGGTCTAATCTGAATTTTCCTTTTGCTAGAAAAGATGGAATGGAGTATGGTTATGTATATAAGCAAACTTGAATATTTTAAGAGTATTAGGTGAAACACTCCTGTTAYTTCTAGCCTTGCAGACTCCTTTGGGTATCCAAGCCTGACTGGATGTGCCAGTTCCAAGATAGATCCTGTACTCCTTCCATGAACATAATTTCCAAAAGGCAAGTAGAAGTGAGAATTTCCTAAAGTTTTCCTGAAGGCTCTTATCAATTTTGGATAATGATAATTTAGTTGAGCAGATTTCCCTGGAACAATTCYATGGCCTTGTTAAATGTTCTAATTAATGGAGTTTCTTTGAAAGCAAGGAAGGCAGCCCCCGTTTGGAAGCAGAGCTCCCTGGCAGGTAGGGAAGTTAGTGAAATGGAGACAAGAAAACCTGTAATAGCAGAAGCTTCTGCTGTAGCTTGGAGCTGTTTTATTTCTGCTAAAGCTGCTCTGTGTTGTCCTGRCATCCAGACTGCTGCATCAAAAGGAAGAAAAAGCTTGGCTTAAACCCCAGCCTCCGTCGTGTTTCTGGCTCTTGGTAGGTGATTTGGGGAGCTGTGTCATGCYGCTTGTTCTGGACAGGGATCGTCCAAGCTCTTTCCTCCCTAACCAATGCAACTACATCAAAATAAAGATATTTTGGTGGAATTACAACTTTTAAGACTTTTTTCCCCTTTTTTTCCCTTTTCACATCATTTAATAAGGAAATTAACATCTGCGTAGGAACAGGATTCGTGAACATGCGTGCTTGGCATTCGCTTGGTCAAAGCTTTTTTTATTAGCTCCTGACTTATTAGTATTCTTTCAAGAAATCAAGAACATTTAAATCTCCTATATATACATCTCAAAGCAGTATATCTTTTAGAATGTTTTCCTTCCTTCCTTTCTCGATCAAAATTTTGTTTTCAATTTTCTGATTAAAAATATGTAGTTTGAAATACAAAGAAAGTTGGTTCTCTTAGAATTCTAATGAAAGATTAATAGGATATCAAGACACTGTCCAATGAGTCCAYCAGCTAAAGTATTTTAACAAAAAGATACAATCAGATAGTGTTTTGTTGTTTTTCTTATGACACTATTAGAAGTTTCATAAATATTTTCTCTCTTGTGGATACTCTTATTTTGCTCTTACAATAGTAACGCTTGTTTAGTCATGAGATTACCATTGCCAGATATTTTGAATCATTTTTTTGCCATTTTTTTCCTTCTGAAAGAAAATAAATTCAAGAGTGTATTGAGTTATGGCAGAAGTACAAATGAGAAATTTGAAAATACATAAATAATTTCCCCTGGATTTGCTAATGAAGTTGACAGGCAAGAAGATAAATAGCATTCCTTTTTTTTTATTATTCTTAAATTCATTATTGAATAAATATTTAGAAGTCCTGGCATAATGGGTCTTCCTTAAGCCTTCTGTTTGTATCAGTGTCTTAATTCCTTTTTATTTCACAAACCSTTTTTTCCCTGCCTTGTTTATGTATCGTGTGTGTTCTCAATTCAGGCCTGTGGAGTGCGAGTTACATTGGCTGGCTGCATTCCTTCTACAATTTCTTGTGTTTTTGAACATAGGGCTGTATTTGTTTTGGGTTAAAACCTCACCAGTGAAAAAGAGGTTCTTGGGAAGTGAGCTGGGCTGAGGGGATGTTCTGTTGAAAGCCTGAGAGTTGGACACCTCCTGTAGGAAACCCTGAAAATTTCCCTCTTGGATTTAGGAAAGAAATTCAATTTTATTTGAAATAATTATTTTATTTGAAATTAATATACTACTAAAGTGTATTAATATGCTAATAAATTATTTGTTAGTGTTTCCAACCTAGATACCTTGATACAGGAGCTTTTCTTTGAGCTTGTTGACAGCTGTTYACGGACTAGGCTTTCGTTGTGCAAGGAGCATGTAAGCATTTTAGCTCAGGTGAGTTAGGTTTCCTTGATTCCCCTTGAAGCCTCCCGCAGGTCTCGGGAAAAATCTTTGTTCACTGGCTTTTGGTTAGCTGGTCCTAGCAAAACCAGGGCTTTCARGTGTGTTTTAGCAGGGAGTTGGCTCTGTCGCTGTTCCTTGCTCTGCATCAGCATTATGCCCAAGTCTAAACATTACCCTAGCTAGGTCAACTTTTTCATTGTCATCTTCTTGCCTTTTAAGCATTTCCTACAAACAAATAAATTCTCTTGGGTTATGCTGGTTTCAAAGAGGTGTGTTTGGCACCCGCCATGCCAGCTTTATTCTGGGTCAGGCCCGTGACAGGCGAGAGGAGACCAAAGGTGCCGCGTGGGCGCAGCGACGCCCAGGCACCTGGCTCCTTGTTTTCGAAGAGCATCTTGTGAGGAGAAGTTCTGGCTTGGAAATTGGAATAAATTGGAGAGAGCATAAATGTCAACTGAATAATAAGGCAGACTGTGGCACAGTCTCCCGAGTGAAACAGTCTCAGCAATAAGTTCAGTCGTATGAAAGAAAATGAAGCAAATTGTCTGCTAGGAAGCAGCTCTGAGCAGAGACACAGGGCACCGTCGTGCGGCTCCCTTCTTCTCAAGTGGCACTGGAGGCTTTTGGGCACTTGTATTTTTGGGCTTTGAGAAGCAAGCTGTTTGCCATGCCTGTTTGGAACTTGGGAGTGCGTCTCATAATGGATTCAGAGCTGCTTCGTGGAATCAAACTTATAATGAAGCGCTGCTGTTATGAGGAAACAACAGCAAATGAAAACTTCTGCTTCATCCAGATCAATTAATGTGCTACCAAATGAGCTCTCTCTCRTTCAGTTCAACAAGTGAGATCCTTATTAACCGTGGCCTCGTGAGGCAAAGCTGCAAGTTAGCACTTGCATGTAGTAAGCAGGGGTAGTATTCATTTCCAAGCAACTTGCCAGGCTTCTTGTGAATCAATAGGTTCTTAAATTAAATGAGTCCTGAAACAGGGCAGCAGTGAAGCAGTTTATGGGATAGGTTTATAATCAACTGATAATTTAATTAATGTAGCATCTTAACTGCTTGTCTCTGATTTAATTTTTTCCAGATGTTTACTTTTTAATGAAAAGCTCTTTAGAGACTCATGAGGAAAGCTGCATCTGGAGAGAGAATTTATGGCAAGTTTGCATGGAAATAAAGAAACACTTCTTTAGTCATTTTCTTCCATCTCCACACAGAAGCTTTGGGGATTTGAAGAGTATATGTGTGTGTGTGTGTGTATGTGTGTATATAATATATATATATAAAAAAATATAATAACCCATACTC